TTTTACTCTATCTTTGTTGAAGACTAATATGGTCATATCTGTGGACACATGAATTATGTGCTTATCTAATCTGAACCTAGATAGGGAGAGAATAAAAGTAGGAATAAACCTGTGGTTTCCTGACTTGGGTTAAGTACATTAGCCAAAAGATCTCTATTGACTGTACTGAAATTTTATAGCTTATATCAGCAATTAAATGTGTATGGTTTACTAGGCATACAAAGTAAATGATAAGATAGTTGTATTGACTTTGTCTAATTTTACTGAGGGCTATTATGAACATAATGTGAATATGTACTTAAATGTTCAAGATAATATGCATAGTATAAAATATCCTGGTTTCTAATGGAAAATTCTCTTGCATTTCTTTCTATGTATAAAAGTTTTTAAAAATAGTTGTAATTTTGCCTTGTTATAGCAATTTTTTTTGGGGGGTACCAGGGATTGAACTCAGGGGCACTCGACCACTAAGCCATATCTTCAGCCCTATTTTGTATTTTTATTTAGAGACAGGGTCTTACTGAATTGCTTAGTGCCTTGTTGTTGCTGAGACTGGCTTTGAACTTGTAAACCTCTGCCTCAGCCTCCGTAGCTGCTGGGATTATAGGCTTGCACCACTGTGCCCTGCTTAGTGTATAATTTTTGATGGAAAAACATTTTAGTATATTAAGATGCTTTAGACTAATTTAATATCTAACACTGTTTAAAGAACCTTGGCTTATACAAAACTGTATTTTCCAAAGAAACAGGTACAGACAGGGGCTGAGGTTGTGGCTCAGCGGTAGAATGCTTGCCTAGCACGTTCGAGGACCTGGGTTCAATCCTTAGCACCACATAAAAATAAATAAAATAAATGTATTAAAAAAAAAGAAATAGGTACAAAAGAAAAACCCATTTTAGCATGTTACCTATGTTTGTTTATTTAATGAGTATTTATAGGATGTCTCATTTGCCATAGTTCTTACAGTTCATGGATTTACAGCCACTGCACATATACATTTATCCCTAGATTATCCATATACACTTAAAGTCAGCATGTTCCCCACCGCCTTTTTTTTTAAAGAAATTAAAGTTGTTGATATAACTTTTTTTTTATTTATTTGTAGTAGTGCTGAGAATCAAACCCAGTGCCTCACACGTGCTAAGAAAGTTCACTACCACTGAGCTACAACCCCAGCCCCCCACCTGCCTATCTTGATCTCTTCAGTTCCCCTCTGTTCTGTACATACTCCGTGTTTACCTTACTGAAACCCACTGTAAACCCTGAAATCATTTCCACTTCTCCTTCTATAGTACAAAGTCTATCTCCAAATATTTTAACAGACTCTCTCTTTTCTTCACCTTCAACCTCCCAAGTTCAGACCTCATTTTCTCTTGCATGGGCTTTTGTAGCCAAGCTATCTACCTGAGGTGTCCCTGATGACCTCACTATCTACTCTCATTGTCCTTGAATCAAGAATTCCAGCTGGATGCCAGTTACTTACTAAAAATATAAACTATTCATTAATACCTCTATGGTGTTAATTAATACCTCATCCTTTTTCCTCAAGGTTGAAGGGCAAATTCTGCACTGCCCAAATGGATCTCAACTTACCTCTCTGGAACCTCTGGAAATAACACACTTACAACCAAGCATCAACTTCATCTTATTACTCAGTGTCCAAGGCTGGTTGCCTTTCCTCAGCTTCTCCTCTCATGGAACTTTCTAACATGCCTTCCTCTTATCACCTCCCGTGCTGTGGTATTCTCTTCTCTAGGCAGTTAATTGCCCTTTTTTTTCTATCTTCCTGGATGCTCTGTATCTGACTTCACTATAGCTAGATTGACAGCAATGTTTGTATTTCCAATTACTGTACAAGAGGACAGGAACCCAGTCTTATTCAAACTAACAAGGGGCCTGCAAACCAATGTTTGTGCTAGGTCAAAAACCTTCCATTTATAAACCATTCTTGCAAAAATGAAATATATATATATATATATATATATATATATATATATATATATATTTTTTTTTTTTTCCTTGGAGGAATGGTGTGTGTGCTGGGCATTGGACCTAGGGCCTTGAGAATGCTAGGCAAGTGCTCTACCATTGAGTATATCTCCAGCCTTCAAGGAATACTTTTATATGTGCTGGTGAGGCAAATGCTTTTTTGTTTTTTCCTTAAAGTTTACTTTTTAGTTTTAGCTGGACACAGTATCTTTATTTTACATTTTATGTGCTGCTGAGGCTCGAACCTAGTGCCTCATGCATGCTAGGCAAGCACTCTACCACTTAGCCACAATCCCAGCCTGGAGGCAAATGCTTTTATAACTATCAGTGGAATTCCAGAATTCAGAATAAACCAATATATTGTGGTGAAGTACAAACAGGATTATAACAGACATATTTAATAGACTGATTTGAGTCTTTCTTTTAAAAACATATTATGGGCTTCATAAGTAGACTTCTTGTAATTACTGATTAATACCAGATTTTTTTTTCTGAAACACAATAGTTTTAGCAAATGTGATTCTTTTCCACTTTGAAATTTGAACTGTTAGAATGACAACGGGAAAGATAATTGTCAATTAAATCTCCAATATTTCATTAAAAGTGCATATACTTGATATAAGGAACAGTACAGAACAATAATGATGTGTGTAGATGACATCTGAATCCATGGTAAACATGATCTTGACCATAAAATTCCACTAGCTCAGTTCACCACAATTATTATTAGAAAAGAGTGGCTTTGTTGCTTTTGTGTAATCAGATAAAAATATTTTTAACACTATAAAATGCAGAAAAAAAAGAGATGGAAATAGGAAATAAAAATGCCCATAGAAACATCACCCAAAGACAACTATGAGGTTCAAGTTTTCTTTTTGCTGATACTTCATGAATTTTTGAACATAATGGTGGTCATAATGCATGCATAGTTTCATAATTTATTTTTCCCCCACTTAAAATGTTGCCATGTTGTTATATACATTCATATTTAAAATTGTTACTTAAAATGCTATAGAGTAAATCCAGCTATTTAGAAACTTAGTTTCCATATATTTTTGATCTTATAAAATATTGTGATATGGAATTTATGAATTAAAGTTTTTGCTCTACTTCAGATTATTTCTGGAAGAATCCCAGACATGGGATTGTGGGTGGTAAGATTTATGAATTTACTTAAAGATTGAATCACAATGCCAAATTGCTTTCTAAAGAGGTTATTTCAGTTTACATTCCCACTCACACTGTCTGAGATTACCATTTTTATCTCACCAGCCTTGAATATTTACTAATACCATCATCAACTGAAATGTTACAACTTCTGTTCTATTTGCTGTTACAGAGGACAGAAGAAAATCAAGTCTTTGGATGCAAATATTTATTTGGGTTTGGTCATAGTTCAGCCACTTCCTAGCAGGTTTACTTTGGATAAATTACTTAATGCTTTTGAGGATCTCTTTATTCATTTATTTTTTAAAAGTTGACACTAGTTTTCATCCCAAACACAGGGTTGTTATAATCATTAAGAGTCCTGTGAAAGCTTTTCTCACTTGTACCTGATACATGCCCAACGAGAGTGAATCCTTCATTTTCAGTTGCAAAAGGGTGTTACAGACTTTTGATTGGTGTACTACTTACGAATTTTCATAATACTTTGACCATCTTAATGCGTGTAACCTGATGTAGAAGGCTGAACAATTACCTAGATAATTTTTGAGTCTCCGGAGACAAAGGAGTTATCTTTTGGTGGTCTCTAAGAACCACATAAACCTGTTTGATTACAAAGCACACACCTGGTTCCCATTCTGGAGGAATTTGCAATCTAAAGGCCTTTGAGTGTAACCCTGGAGTCTCTTGGGGCTTTTAATTGTTCAGAAAGGTCTCCAAAGGGCAATGGTGGAAACTCACTGAAGAGGAAACTTAGTGAAAGTGATCTGGAGAGAGTTCCTGGAAAAGCTACTGTCTCAATGAAGGCAAATGCAAAGGCAGGAAGGATATGAATTACTTGTCCTATAAAAGTTAAATACACTCTTGAGTTTTATTGGAATTTAAGGTTTATTTACAAAAGATAAACTAAAGCATTGCAAACCGGTTAAGCCAGGCTAATCTGATTCTGTGCACTTGCTGTAGCACGTTTTACTCTGAATCCCAGTGGAAATACTGAAGGGAGGCAGCTTGGAGAGTATAACACTGTTCCAGAAGTGAGAAGAGGCTCTATGTAGTCTGTTACTAACTGAAATGAGTGGACTAGAGTTAAGGCTCTCTCCAAACCTAAATAATTTAGCTTTAGCTGCTCTTTTGAGTTTCTACTTCCAACTTTTTCTTCTCAACCCGCTCCTTTTAAGGGCCAAGGAATGTCATTGATAATAAAAATGATCACACATCCTGGCTTGGATCAAAACTCGCACTTCTGATTGGTGTCATATCCACTGAGGTTTTGGGTGAATTTACAACTTGCCTCCGAAAAAAAGCAAGCTTTTCCAGTAGGTTAAAACCTACCAAAATAATTTAAACGTTATTTTTTGCAAAGACAAGTTCCTCTCAGGTAGGCCCATTTCTGTCTCCTACTCCAGGATTTTCAAGCAGAGCGGCCAAGTAACGCGCTCCACCGGCTGCCGGATTCCCCCTGGGAAGAACGCCTCCCCGGGGGCGCTGGAAACGCCCTCAGTGAGTTCGCTGGCAACAGCGGGAGTTTCAAGTTTCCACTCGCGGGGGAGGCGGCGGGCGCACTCCAAGCTGGGCGGCTCCTCTACCCTTTGCTGCAGGCTTCTCTCACGCCCGGGGCTTTCTGCAAGGATTTGCCCCTCTTGACGTGTGCCCAGATTCCCCAGGGACCCCGGGCCCGCAGCCTCTTTCCCGCCTTGGCTGCCTCAGACCGCGGCTTGCGAAGGAAAGGCCCCGGGCGGGGCGGCCCTCACGGCTGCCGCTGGGTTGGCGCTCAGGCCGCCGCGCGAGGCCCGCTGGCCGGGAGGGGGAGGCGGGGGGCGCGGGGCAGCCCCGCCTTTCCCCCGAGGAGGCGCCGGGCGGCCATATTGCGGAGCTGTCTGCGGTGTCGGCGGCGCCTCTTCTCTCCAGCTGCCCGGCGCTCTCACCACCACCTCTCCCTCCCTGCCGCAGCCCCAACGCCTGGCGCCGCTGCGCAGCGCCCCAGCCAGTCGGCGCGCGGGCAGGAACCGCTCGCTCTCGGGTAAGCCACCGGCACCCTCCCTTTCCTCTCCCGGGCTTCGCCGCAGACGTTGAGGTGACGGCGAGAAGTTGCGGGGCCCTTGCTGCCCGGCGGTGGCGCCGGCGCCCGGGCCTGGCGCGCCTTAGCTCGCGCCCCGCGGGCCGAGGCGCCGCCGCCTTGTCGACCCAGCCAGGCCGCTCCCGGAGCGGGCGGGAGCCGCGAGGCCCGGCCGAGTCGTGGCGGGCCGCGGCCCCACAGTGCCCAGTTCGGGCCGAAGTCCCCGGCAGCCGCGCGTTTCTCCTCCGGGCGCGGCGTGGGATCCGCCCTTAGCGTCGGCCTCGCACCCCCAGACCCGGGGAGGTCGGACTGGGCCGCGGGCTTGGGCCAGCACGTCCATGGGGGTATTTGAAAAATACTGATAATAAGGGCATGTAGGATTCTGTTTTGCCATGTAGGGAAGGCATTGATCAGAACTTCTCCCCGACCTCCAGTCTGAAAGTAAGGGTGTTGAATTACTAGACAGCGTGCGTTCCTCCCTAGTGGCAAAAAGCTTGTTGCATTACAGGCTTTGGGGCGCCAGTTGCTCCCGCCGCCTGCACCCGCGAGGCCAGGCCCGCCTTCCCGCCGCCGCTCTACCTGCTGCTGCTGCTGCTGCTACTGCTGCGGGGCGCTAGGAGCCCTTTAACTTTCTTGAGCCCTTAAGCCGCCCAGTTTATTAGCTCAGCCCCCACCAGAAAAGTTGAGTGCATCACAGTCCCCTTTCCTTTACCGGGTTCTGAGCTCAGTTCCCGAGCTAACTTTGAAAGGGGGCAGTACGTTAGTTATTTCAGTTTAAATGGAGCACATCAGTTGCTACAGATGTCATTTTTCTTTAAAAATCCCCAGGATTTGTTTTTCCTCAAAGAGTGGTTATTAATGAGGTTGAAAATATGTTAAAAAATCAATTTCATCAAAAAATAGATTTTAATATAGTTGAGATTTTACAGAAAACATGTTTAGGAGCTCCACAGCAGTCCTGTGTAAGACTGGCATGATGTAAAAGTAAAAGTCCAAGATAATGAGGGTTTATTTGATAAGCGAGTACTTGGACACAGACATTGCAATCTATTGTTGACGGAGCATACAGTTTTTAGAACACTAAATACTCTTTCATATGATGGACGGGCTTAGAATGAACAATTGTCCCGTTCATTTTGCTGGATAAATAATGGCTTAGACCATTTGCCAAAACAGCATCATTAGATTTGAGGAAAGAGACTAATATTTAGGATTGCAGGGTTTTTTTGAGGAGGGGTTGTTTTGTTTTGTTTTCAGTATTTGCTTTTACCAGTATATCTTCTAGAGAAGATGATAATTAAAATATGACAATGTAGAGCACTTCTTTTGAGAAATTGTATGCTGTTTAAAGGATTGCAGTTTCTTAATCATTTTTAAACTATAGTTTGGAATTTAATAAGCAGATGATAGTGAGGAATGAATAACATTGGAATTGAGACAAAATTTGATTATGACACTTAAAAATGTTAAATTCTTGCTATCATGGGTCATATACATTGTTTTGTTCACTTCTTTATCCATACACATGAAGAACGTGTAGGAGGGGTTCAGACATGTCATTTATTTGGTGTGGGTAAAATATGTTGAGTCTGTCCTACTTTTTGGAAATTGTGATTACTTAACTGGAAATTAAATTGATTATTGTTTTCCTTGTGATGGTAAGAAATGACACACTTTGCAGTTCTTTCTCTCTTGCTAATTGTCAGTAGTCTCAGGGATTGGAACAAAGGTTTTTTTTTTTTTTTGTTGTTGTTGTTGTTTATTGCTTCACCATTCCCAACAACAGAATTGGACTTTTTTAATATTCATTTTTATCTTTGACAGGCTGTTGAAGTGAGAGTCTTTGTATATTTTGCTTTCAGTTCACCGTCTTTTAATATAATCAACAACAACATATTCTACAGTAGTAGAATCTGAAATGTTGAATGATGGTGGAAATATTGTTTTTTTTTTTAAATTTATTTTTAACTTACCGAATTTTAACTTAAACCATTTAAAGATGAGGGCCAGTTTTAACCATTATCTCTCGAAGACCAATAAGATTGTGAGGACTGGCTGGGTGTGGTGGTGTATGCCTATAATCTCAGCTACAACGGAGGGCTGAGGCAGGGGGATTGCAAGTTTGAGGGCAGCCTCAATAATTTAGCTGGACCCTGTCTCAAAGTAAAAAAATAAATGGTCTCTGAATATAGCTCAGAGGTAAAGCGCCACTGGGTTCAATCCCCAGTGCTACAAAAAACAACTGAAAAAAAAAATTATGAAGACCCAAGCAGTACTGATGAAACATGTCTCTGTAGAGAATAGCTAATAGTCTTATCTTTTTTTTTTTTGTAATGCTGGGGTTCATACCTGGAGCCTTGTGCATGCTAGGTAAGCACTATCACTGAGTCACATCTTCAGCCCTTAGAGTATGGCTGGTAGAAGTTCATGTTACTGCTGTGCACCTGGGAAGTCTAGGAAGTCACCCTTTCTTGGATGGTTTGGACCCTCCTGTAGACCAAAAGCTGGTGGGCACTACTTGATCCTATTGCTGGGTACAGGATCCAGTAGAGCTGGATTGGGTTGCTGTAGACTCTACCTTTACAGGTTACTTTAAGGTTCTTGGTATTTATTGATCAGTAGAGGCTGTTCTAGGAACTTCTCAGACTTCTATAGCCAGAGTATGTTCATCTGTTTGGTGTTAAAGGTGTTCACTCTGATCTCAGATGGTTCCTCCATCTCTAGGCTGTTTTAGAGAAATCCTGCCTGTTCTATTCATTCAAGTTCCTGGTATTTTTATTAAAATTTATATTAAATGTATATCTTAATGTTCACAACTATAAATTAATTTATTTTTATGGCAAAGTTAAAAAAACCCAGAGAGATGTAAAGGGAAAGTTAAAAGTTCTCTTCACTCTCCAAACTCCCCAACGCTTCCAACCCCTTTTCCAGTCCTGTTTTTCATAGTTAACAATTGTTAGTAATTCTTGTATATATAGAAAATACCAATTCTTATGCAAGGATAAACATTCTTGATATCCCCTGCGATTTTAAAGTTTGTTAAAATAAGATTATATTGTAAAAACACTAAAATAGTGTTTATTAATTATGTTAAATACTAAATCGTTTCTCACATTTTCATCATTTGAATGAATTCATGAAATAGAATTTGCTGTACTCGGAAGTGTTTGTGTAAGTGCATATGCAAATTTTCTTGACTAATGATTAAAGGTGAAATTCACTTTTTGTTTTTTTTCTAGAGTATGACTAATAGTAAACAACAACAACAACAAAAACCACATGGTGTCCTTTTAAAACAAGGTTCGTAGCCAGGCATGGTGGCATATGCTTGTAATCCCAGCAGCTCAGGAGGCTGAGGCAGGAGGACTGTAAATTCAAAGCCAGCTCATCAACTTAGTGAGGCTCTCCGCAATTAATGAGATCTGTCTCAAAATATAAAAAGGGATGGGGTTGTGGTTCAGTGGTTAAATATCTCTGGGTTAAATCCCTGGTACTGAATAAAATAAAATAAAATAAAATAAAGATTCATGATTTGGGTTAGTGAAATGTCCATGTAATATGTGGTTGTGGTTGTTTTTGTCTGAAAACTATTAAGAATAATGATCTATGTGATTCACTATTTATTCATTCCATTTAATAGAGAACTCTAGTGTCAACTTCCTTCAAGAAATGGTTCTTTTGGATTGGGAGTTGTGTAGTGACCCCTCACCCCCCACTAAATAGCTGTTATATATAGCAATCCTTATAAATTCACTAACTTAAAATGCTTAGTTATACTTCATAGATATTCTAAATTTGTGTATGAGTAAGTTTTGCATTTTTTCCTTCTGTAATATATTGGTGACTTTTTCACAGTTTAATTCTAAATTACATGTACTAAATCAGATCCCCCACCTTGAGTACTGGGGGATTGAACCCAGTGGCACTTTACCACTGAGCTGTATCACCATTTCCAACCTATTTTATTTCTTGAGACAAGGTCTCACTAAGTTGTGGAGGCTGCCTTGAACATGTGATGCTTCTGCCTCTGCTTCCTGAATTGCTGGGATTACAGGTGTGCTTCTGTGCCCAACTGTACTAAGTTTTAATTTATGTGTATAAACAAGGCAAATAAACTTTTTACATCGAGTAATCTAATGATCAAGAAATGCTGGTTACTTTTCTTCATAATTTATATACATTTGAAATAAGCTATTTTTGAGTTCTAGTAAAGTTGATTTGTTTGAAAGAGAATTCTTGCTAGTAGCCATTTTAGAGCAGGGGCCAGCAAACTGTGGCCAGTGTACCAAATCCAACCTACTTGTCTCTTGTTGTAACTGAAGTTTTATTGAAACATACATGCCTTTTCTTTACATACTGTCTGTGGCTGCTTTTGAGCCACAATGGCAGAAACTATATAGCTCACAAAACCTGAAATATTTACTATCTTTTCCTTTATAGAAAAACTTTGCTAACTCCTGAGTTAGAGGAAAAAATATCATTTTGAAAGACTATTTTAGATACAGTATCAAAAAAGAAGTTACTGTTTTCTTCAAGATTATAGAGTATATAAAGTTAGTACCTTCTAATTGATACAAGATACTTTCCCCCTATGTTTTAGGTGATCTCTAAGGGCTTTCTGGACCTTACATTCTTTTTTCATGTGTGAAAAGTTGAAGTTAAATAGGACCGACTACAGGTGAATTTGTGAACAGTTTTTGGTTTTTAGCCCTTACAACATTTAAGATGCTTTGGATACAAATAATAACATTTTCAAATTGCCTTAAACAATAAGGAAATCTAATATCTTATATGAGAAAGTCCAGAGGCTCAAGAATGGCTCAGTATTCTTGATAATTGCCAATCTGAGATGAAATCTTAGTTTTGATTTGCATTTCTCTAATTGCTAAAGATGTTGAACATTTTTTCATATCTTTGTTGATTGACTATTTATTCTTCTGTGAAGTGTCTGTTTAGTTTCTTAG